TTTGCGGCTCTACGACAACTTGCTGTCGAAGAGAAATCAAGCGTGCTGATGGTGCAATCCGCGCCTTCGCCAAGTCTTCACCAGCGGCTTCTCGAGCGTGATGATGGTGTACGAGCAACGATTTTTCGATGATGGGGGTAGATTCCCGATGGTGGAATCCATCTCCTTCTCCCCGTCGCACAATTCTCAACCGACCGAAGCGGCACCGAGATACGCCCTTTCCCGTCGAGGAGGGGAAAAACTGACGTCGTCGAGTGAGCTTGCGGATGCAGAGAAGAGCGCCACGGCTACAGTTTCGGCTCCTAATTTGGGTTCTGAAATGAGAAACAATTAAACAATACCGATAGTATATTTTATGTATATGTGTGTCTTGATCTGTCATTGGCTTGAATTCCGAAAATCTCGAGTATATATTTTATGTATATTTTATATATATGTGAGTTCTGAAATCAATTTTGAGAAACAATTGAAACTCTACTGTATATTTAAAGTATATTTGATGTATATGTGTGTCCCAATATTTCGATAGCTTGAATTACGATACATAAACCAAAGATCAATAAAATCCATCACAAATTATTATTTTCTTTAGTCATATAATCTTGACGTAAATAAATATGAGATAATTACTCCCCTAAATATATAGGACTATAAACACAATATATACTTTCTATTCAGAACATATACGTTTAATATACGGGTTTAACACTATGACATTTTAAAAATAAACAAAAAAGAGATCGACAAGAACAAGAAAAATTACTTGATTTGTCGGAATATATTTTTCAAGATTCGGGGATTTGTAAATAGTTATAAGCTAATGTCGCTTGAAATTCAAATTCATTATCTTTCCTATTTCTACTAACAACCTCCTTATTATTAGGATTAATTTACTTTTCATGTGTTTTTAGTTCTTTTTTTTTTCATGGAAATTCGTCCATCAAGGATATGTTCACATTTGGTAACTACAATCTTAGCATATTGACAATATTTACGCACGATTCTGTCGAGATGCAATACAAGATTTGACCATGACATTTTTACAATTATTTTTATTTATTTCAGTATATATAAAATTTTGCCTAAACGTTTCAAGTGTCAATATCCATTTTTAAAACTATATTAAATAATGCTCAATAATGCATAAAAGGTTATCCACTTCCTTTTGTTGGTAGTGTGAATCTTCTTCAAAGCGCACAGCATAGTCCAGTCAGTGCCCAATAATCTTTTATTTGTGAAAATCCCACATCGGATATACACATCGGATTTTATTGTTGTCCATGTTCAAAAGTAATACAGGACCGCTCAGCCGGTGTACCTGCTTCCGGTTCTCCTGGTTTTGATCGAGTACAATGGTTTTTGACCGGTTTTGACACCTAGCGGTTCCATAACACTAACCGGACCGGTATAGTGGCCGGTTCCCAGTTAAATCGGTCAACCCGGCCGGTCCGATCCGATTTTGATAACATTGAAAAATAGTGAAGTTGATAAAATAAATAAAGTCCTCGTTAATATAATTTAAATGGGTAAGGATTGGAGGAAATTTCAAATTTCGTCATATATGATTGGGCTCGTTGCAATTTTAGTCATTCTAGGTGGGAATTCAATATTTAACTTTTTTATTGTTGCGTAGTTCAAAAGTCATCAACATTAACAACAATGTCAATGCCACTCACGTGGCAGTTGGTAGAAGTGTTCACGGTCCGGTTTTAACTGGAAAAAACCGTCAATCCAGACAGCGGATCGGTTAAATGGTCGGTCAAAAAAGCCTTAAAAAATTCGGTGGTTATTTTTTTAAAAAAATCCAGAATAACCGGTCCGGTTAACGGTTTACATGCGGCAAACCGCCAGTTTAACCGGACCGGACCGGTAAATGTTAAAAAACTATAACAAATATATATATACATTCAGTCATTCACTATGGCCGACAAATACAATACATTCACTATCACGTTTTGGCCTTTTTGCTAATTTAATCTTCGTCATTTTTATATTTTTATGTTTACGGGACGTATGTGTATTTTTAAACTTATGGGACGAATTGTATAGTTTTTATTTCAATATTGTTGTTTCTCTTAATTTTTAGGCCCAAATAATCTTTTTTGGGCCCGAAATTGAAAAATGAAAATTAGGCGCAAAATGAAAAAAATAAAAATTGAAGGCCCAAAACAAGGATTTTGAATTTAACCGGTTAACCGTCAAACCAAACCGCCCAATTCGGTTTGGATTGTGGCCGGTTAAAAAAAAAAATCGGTCCGATTATGGACAAGAAAAAAAATTAACCGTTAGGTCTGCTTTGGTCATGGTTTGGGCTAAAATCGGACCAATCCAGACCGTGAACACCCCTAGCAGTTGGTCTTTTTTACTGTTGCGTAGTTCAAAAGCCATCAACATTAACAACAATGTCATTGCCAGTCACGTGGCAGTTGGTTGTTTGGTTGAAAATGAGGAATGCGAATTTAGTCCAATAAAATTGATCGTGTTGTAGCACAAATGTTGAAAAAAATTGTTTTTTACAATTGTTTGTTGCAATTTTTATATAGTGAGTATATAACAATCTTTGATAAGAAAAAAAAAAGAAAGAGAAAAAATACTATATGATATTTTCTATATTTCAAATTATTTTTAATTAAATAATAAATATATTTAAAATGTAATAATTTAATTGTATTAGAAATATAGAACTGTAGAGATTAATAAAATTTTAAAAATAAAAATAACAATCAACTACTATTGTTTTGAAAATCGGGTCAAATTAGTTGTGAATCGAAAATTGGTCAACTAAACGGTTACATTCATTTGGACGAACTAGTTTCCAAAGAACCAATCAGAATTGGTTGAACGGACTGGTCAATTATA